AGTCCCATCAGGTGCCCCCAACATGCTCATCCGCCGCCCCCAGCAGAGCCCTCACCAAGGGGGAGGGTGAAGTGCCACGGAGCTGGCGTTGTAGCCCTTTCCTGGAGAGAGAAGCACCCAGGCAGGTGCCCCCCCAGAGCACGCAGGGGTCCCACCCTGGGCAGCCTCCTCAGAACTTTGGGGAGCAGTGGTCAAGGATGAGAGTTGGGAGTCAGCCACTGGGAAGACCCCGTGAACAGCAGTGGGCAGAGATTGCCACGTCCCCTCCCCAAAAGTCTATCCCTCCCACCAAATGCCTTTTTAACATTTTGGAAAAGGACGAACGGGGTCAAGCAAACCCCGTCCCGGCTCCCGGGAGCCGTCTGCTCAGGGCCTGGACCAAGGGGGGAAAGAACATTTAGGAGATTCTGCTCAGCAAATTGGCCTCAAGTGCGTTTCCTGCGGGTTGTAGCTTTGGGCGCCGGCGCTTTCGAGCGAGGTGACACCAAGTGGGGAGCCCAGGTCTTAGGCCGGTGGCTGCAGCGGAGAAGCGGGCAGGGGGCATCGTGGGCCGGGAAACCGCGCGGAGAAACAATGATCAGGAAAATGGTTGCACGTGCCGGTTCCAGCTCCCGGCCCTGCTGTTTCCCCAGCTGAGACCCACAGCATCACTTCTCCCCGAGCCACAGATGGCCTGCTCTTCAGGGGACCTTCCGGGTACCCCTGTCCCCCAGCCCCACTGGTCCCAGCCCCTCCTCACTCTCTCCAGGGAAGCCACCGGGCCTCAGGCTCCCTGCTCAGAATGGGCAGGGCTGGGGGGGGGCAGGGGGGGCGCTAGGTGACGGGGAGTCCTGAGGCACTGGGCCCACCGCAGGGCTAGGTCTGCACCCCTCTGGGCCCACCGCGGGGCTAGGTCTGCACCCCTCGGTGTCTCTCTCTCTTCCCTCTTTCACCCCCCTTCCCTCCAGGAAGCTAAAGTGGCGAAGGGACTGCAGGAAGCCACTGGGCCCCCACGGGAGGGGGGGGGGCTTGGCTGAGCGTCTGGCCCCACAGCACGGCCTCCAGGTCTATTTGTCCTTTTGAGTCACTGGCCTGGTTACCTCTCGCTCGGGAAATTACAGCCCGGCAGCAGCACGGCTTGTCCTCCAGCCCCGGGGAGCGAAGGGCTGGGCCCCGCTGCACAGCCCGCTGGTGACTCCTCTCAAGATGCAGGTGGGAAGGGGGTGCCTGCTCCCCTCCGTGAAGCACCCCCTCAGCACCCGGCTGCCCCTGCTGCCCGGTGGACCCAGGAAGTCAGCTCCGCACCCCCTCCCAGGGGTTCTAGTCTGGCTGGAAATGTCAGAAATGGCCAAACACCAGAGACTGGGA